GGCGCTGATCCAGACAGGACAGGGTGAACTCTGATTCTAAAAAAAAAACAGAAGAATAAATGGTATGAGCACAGGAAACTGAGAACCAGGAAAAATAAACTACATAATGAAGACGGAGTGGTCTTACGGTACTGAGTTGGAATATGGACTGAAGGGGGAGACAAGTCAGGTCTGTGCAGGGGAATGTCCTGTAGTGAAGAGTAGTTGGTGGTTGCGGATGATCCAGGGCAGGTGGGCGGTGGAGAGCGGGCGGCAAGGGGAGCTGAGCGACACTGGAGATGATGACACACCTCAGGGAGGTGAGAACAGAGGCGAGGATCCAGGACAGGTGCTGGGGCAGACAAGGAAGGCAGAATGAGCACAAGTCTAAAACACAACTTCAGAATAATCTGACAGGACAGGACGTGGCTAGAGGTACCCAACGACAGAGTATCAACCGGCGCTGAAGTGTGGCAACACCGCTCCTTAAATCCCCTGGCCCTGCTGATGGAATCAGCTGCAGCTGTGACTCTCCGACACGCCCACCTGAAAAACCCGTAGGAGGAACAAAAGCCAGCAGAGAAAATAAGCAGAACCATGACAATAATGTAATGTATACAGGTCCTTCTTGAAAAATTAGCATATTGAGATAAAGTTAATTATTGTCTGTAATATACTGATAAACATTAGACTTTCATATATATTAGATTCATTACACACAGCTGAAGTAGTTCAAGCCTTTTATTGTTCCTAATATTGATGATTTTGGCATACAGCTCATGAAAACCCAAAATTCCTATCTAAAAAAAATAGCATATTTCATCCGACCAATAGAAGAAAAGTGTTTTTAATACAAAAACCTCAACCTTCAAGTAATTATGTTCAGTTATGCACTCAATACTTGGTCGGGAATGCTTTTGCAGAAATGACTACTTCAATGCGGCGTGGCATGGAGACAATCAGCCTGTGGCACTGCTGAGGTGTTATGGAGGCCCAGGATGCTTCGATAGCGGCCTTAAGCTCATCCAGAGTGTTGGGTCTTGCGTCTCTCAACTTTCTCTTCACAATATCCCACAGATTCTCTATGGGGTTCAGGTCAGGAGAGTTGGCAGGCTAATTGAGCACAGTAATACCATGGTCAGTAAACCATTTACCAGTGGTTTTGGCACTGTGAGCAGGTGCCAGGTCGTGCTGAAAAATGAAATCTTCATCTCCGTAAAGCTTTTCAGCAGATGGAAGCATGAAGTGCTCCAAAATCTCCTGATAGCTACCTGCATTGACCCTGCCCTTGATAAAACACAGTGGACCAACACCAGCAGCTGACATGGCACCCCAGACCATCACTGACTGTGGGTACTTGACACTGGACTTCAGGCATGTTGGCATTTCCCTCTGCCCAGTCTTCCTCCAGACTCTGGCACCTTGATTTCCGAATGACATGCAAAATTTGCTTTCATCCGAAAAAAAGTACTTTGGACCACTGAGCAACAGTCCAGTGCTGCTTCTCTGTAGCCCAGGTCAGGCGCTTCTGCCGCTGTTTCTGGTTCAAAAGTGGCTTGACCTGGGGAATGCGGCACCTGTAGCCCATTTCCTGCACACGCCTGTACACGGTGGCTCTGGATGTTTCTACTCCAGACTCAGTCTACTGCTTCCGCAGGTCCCCCAAGGTCTGGAGTCAGTCCTTCTCCACAATCTTCCTCAGGGTCCGGTCACCTCTTCTCATTGTGCAGCGTTTTCTGCCACACTTTTTCCTTCCCACAGACTTCCCACTGAGGTGCCTTGATACAGCACTCTGGGAACAGCCTATTTGTTCAGAAATTTCTTTTTGTGTCTTACCCTCTTGCTTGAGGGTGTCAATGATGGCATTCTGCACAGCAGTCAGATCGGCAGTCTTACCCATGATTGTGGTTTTGAGTAATGAACCAGGCTGGGAGTTTTTAAAAGCCTCAGGAATCTTTTGCAGGTGTTTAGAGTTAATTAGTTGATTCAGATGATTAGGTTAATAGCTGGTTTAGAGAACCTTTTCATGATATGCTAATTTTTTGAGATAGGAGTTTTGGGTTTTCATGAGCTGTATGCCAAAATAATCAATATTAGAAACAATAAAAGCCTTGAACTTCTTCAGTTGTGTGTAATGAATCTAATATATATGAAAGTCTAATGTTTATCAGTGCATTACAGACAATAATGAACTTTATCACAATATGCTATTTTTTGGAGAAGGACGTGTATCTTGTATATAAATAAATGAGTTGTTATCTTTAACTGATAGATGTTTCCTTGATTACAGCCAACATGCCACATCAGGAGTAGCCCTGGTAGCCAATCCAAATAGCCTCATGCATCTGTTCTATTGCTATGACTTCAGTTAGCCTGGCCTGCCAGACTCTGTTTAACTCTCCACAGAGAACTAGTCTGGTTACTCACAGGCAGAGAGGCGCACGAGTGGCGGAACTAGCCAGTTAAAAAATAACCAAACAGAAAAAAGGTTTAAATGCCGACTGTACCTTGAGATGCTGTCTTTTTTTAGCTGTAGTCAAAAACAGCGTCTGGCGACAAATGACCACTACTTGGTGTTAAATTGGCTTTGATGGTGGGGAAGGAAGCCAATCAGACCTGGTAGGCCTAAACGTATTGTGAGCAGGGTTCGAATTGCAGGGGAGCTCGGCTCACCTGAAAGGGTAACAAGCTCGCCTGGAAGCCTTCAACTCACACACTCAGGGGAAGCCTGAAGAAAGATCCTGGTTCTACTTATGTTACATTTTTTATGTGGACTTTCTGGGGGTTCTTTTGAGCAGAGAGGATGCAGAGCGCCGATCTTTGTTGTGCTCCAGGCAACTCCGTCCTGCGCACGGCCACAGTAATGTTCTCAAAGTGTCACCATGCACCCCAAAATAAAAATGTGTTGGTTGACGCAGCTCTGCAGTATTGCGGGGACATCGGGGGTAGTTTAACTGGATTGGCAGACCAGGGTGGTGGTCCCCCTATTTAAAAAGGGGACCACAGGGTGTGTTCCAACTACAGGGGGATCACACTCCTGAGCCTCCCTGGTAAGGTCTATTCAGGGGTTCTGGAGAAGAGGGTCCGTCCGACTGTCGAACCTCTGATTCAGGAGAAATAATATGGTTTTCGTCCTGGCCATGGAACATTGACCAGGTCTATACTCTTGGGGGGTCCTGGAGGGGGCGTGGGAGTTTGCCCAAAACATTCTATATGTGATCTGTGGATTTGGAGATGGCAATCAACCATGCCCCTCGGGGGGCCCTGTTGGGGACACTCCATGAATATGGGGTACCAGGACCTCTGATGCGGGCTGTTAGGTCCCTGTGTGACCTGTGTCATTGATTTGTCTGCATTGCCGGCAGTAAGTTAAGCTCGTTTCCAGGGAGAGTTGGACTCCGCCAAGGCTGCCCTTTATTACCGATTCTGTTCATAACTTTTATGGACAGGATTTCTAGGCACAGCCAAGATGATCTGTTTTGGTGGCTTAAGGATTGAGGCTCTGCTTTTTGCAGATGAAGTGATCCTGTTGGCTTCATCAGACAGTGATCTCCAGCATTTTCTGGAGTGGTTTGCAGCCCAGTGTGAAGCAGCTGGAATGAGAATCAGCTCCTTTAAATCCGAGACCATGGTCTTGAATCAGAAAAGGGTAGAACTACTTCCCCAGTTCAGGGACGAGGTCCAAACTCAAATGGAGGAGTTTAAGTTTCTCAGGGTCTTGTTCACGAGTGAAGGAAAAATGTTGCGTAAGATCTACAGGTGTATTGGTACTGCATCTGCAGTGATGCAGACATTGTACCAATCAGTTGTGGTGAAAAGCTAAGCCAGAAGGCAAAGCAAGTGGAGCCAGTTGAGGTGGCCTGGGCATCTGGTCAGGATGCCTCCTTGGTGAGATTTTCTGTGCACATCCAACCGGGAGGAGATCCAAGGGAAGACCCAGGACACGCTGGAGAGACTATGTCTCTCGGCTGGCCAGGGAACACCTTGGGATTCCCCCGGAGGAGTTGGCCCAAGTAGTTGGGGAGATGAAAGTCTGGGCCTGTCTGCTTAGGCAGCTGCCCCCACAACCCAACTCCAGATAACCGGAAGAAAAAAGATGGATGTAGGGCTGAATGAATAATTGCAAATGCAATTAAATTGCGATGTGGCAAAAGGAGATTTTCTAATTGCAAAGGCTGCGATTTGACTGGCAGCGAGTGGTTAGCACAATGCTAATATACATTGAAAAACCCATAGGGATGCTAATGCTAATATCGCTGATTACATTCTTACAAATTATGAATTAAGAACGTGCCAAATAATTACATATGGAGTCTAATAAAAAGTAAAAACTGCCATCAATCAAATAAGTACAGACAGATATTTTAGTAAAGCTATAAAACCATCAGAGACTTTAACTTCAGAGTTTTGGCTAGCAGCTATTATCGTAACTAAGGTATAGAAGCTTTGCATGGACAATACGTCAATAACACAAAAGACATCAGAAAAGGGACACACTTCTTTCCTGCCAATCAGTTTTCACAGTTGATGCTAATACCTATGCTTCTTCTATGGATTTGCTCCCGGCTGCAAAGCATTACACCTTCAAATACAACATGTTGTTTACTTGTGAGTGTTTATGTATATGTAGACAAATAAACTTGTTGATATGATATGTAGATAAATATGTAGATACATAAACTTGCTTACGGTATATTCAGTACAAGTTACATAGATTATTTCTTTGCTTCTGTTAGTTGAAAAATATGAGAAAAGCCCGTTGAGAAAATAATTGCTAATTAAATCGCTATTGCAATATTGAAGGAAAAAATTGCAATTAGATTTTTTCCTAAATCGTTCATGCATGCATGCATGGATGGATGCATGCATGGATGGATGGATGGATGGATGGATGGATGGATGCATGCATGGATGGATGGATGGATGGATGCATGCATGGATGGATGGATGGATGGATGGGCACCACAGCATTTTCAACTTTTTTATATAAAGAACAATAAAATGACATTAAGATTAACCGCTGGCTCCAACCAAAAATAATAAAAACTGCAAAACATAACCAGTTTGAATTAAAATCAGAGTCACAAACTCACAAGATTGGTAGTTGCTTTTTGTGTAAATAAATTACAGTTTTGAAAACATAACAAGCTTCAGGTGGATTAAGATCAGTCACTACCAGTAACATTAATTACGATTAGTTTTGTGCAAATAAGAACAAACATAACAGGCTCATTTTCAATCAAATCACAAACTTGTTTGTTTGTGATTGGTTAAAATGTCTTTTGTCTAAACTTTTTTTTTGTGTTATTTCTCTAAAGGGGGAATACAAATTTGTCTGTGGCCAGTTTAACTGTAATGTAGAGTGGCCATATGAGGAGGTTCGTAAAATGGCTCTCCTGACCCCTGAAGAAAAGGAGTACTTTGAAAAGATCATGGCCCACAATGCTGTCAAGAATTACTTTGACTCCAAATTTGTAAGTATCTCATCAGAAACAGAATATTCACAAAGCATATTTGACAAAAGCCTTACTGTTTCTGTTTTCTTGTCCCTTCCATCCTCCAAATCTCAGTGTCCTGGATGCAAATTCTCAGTGACAAGAAAGAATGAGTCTAATCTGAGCGTTCGCTGCCAAGTCTGCACAACAAACAAAGGACACATCTACGAATTCTGCTGGCAGTGTTTGAGGGAGTGGAAAGGTCCACAACCACGTTTGGACCGTTGTGACAATGACGGCTGCACCAACGATTCACTGAAAACACTGAGAACCTGCCCAGCTTTGGTGTTTGATGAAGTAAAAGGAGTCAATGGGTGTCCGTCTGTTCGGGCCTGTCCGACCTGTGGTACTCTGGTGGAGCACACTGGGAAGAAATGTAAAAATATTAAATGTCGCAAGTGCAAGGTGGAGTTCTGTTTTGTGTGCTTAAAGACCACAGCTGATTGTAGGGCAATAAAACCTGATTATTATGGACCATGCTCCAGTGGTCTTGCCCCCCGACAGACCGCCATACCTGTGTGGAACAGAAAATAGTGAATCACTATGATTCTTTTTTATAAATCAGCATATACTTAAGTTATGTAATACCAGCGTTTTTTGCTCCTATTGTTCCAAATTTCACCATCTGGCACAAAATATCTTAACATAAAGATTTTTGTTTCGGTCATAACTACCTTTGTTTCGCTCGTCAGAAAGTTTCTCCCAAATAAACACACTATGCAGATGATATGTATGTTTATGATTTTTTTCTTTTCTTTAAAATAAAGAATAGCATATAAAACCTGAAATTGGTTTGTAATATTATTGTTTTCAATATCCTGCTCTCACGTTGCTGCTGGCAGTTCATTATTATGTGACAGCGCATCTGGGGGGGGGGGGGGGGACGACAAAGAGGGGGCCCGCGAGCTGCCTACTGAGGACTGCTGGTCTGCAGAGTCAAATGCTTTAGCCAAGTCAACAAACGGCCTCACAATATTCGTCACTGACAATGGCACATATGATGCCTTTTAGCACTTTAAGTGTTGCAGAGACACATCCATGGCCAGTTGTGTACCCAGACAGCATGGGGGTAATAATACTGGATTCTAGATAGTGAGTTTGCTAACTTTTCAATTACTGTAGAGGCAAGGCAGGACAGAGATACTTGAAGGCTTTCTTACTGCTTTGAAGACATTTGAATAAAATCTCAGCTAACATCAATGTAAATTAAAACACTATAATTTACGATATATTTTACCTAGTTTACAAGACAAATATATCTCAGTGTATCGTATAAGTTTGCATAACATATTATGGAAATGTTTTGTTTGATGCGGCAAAGTCAAATTTGTGAACATTTTATATTTGCCTGAATTCTGGTGCTCAGTTTGTTACAGGCATGTGAACCTTAGCATGGGTTTTAGGGGGCAAGGTTGTGTGTTGCAACATTTTGTAAGTGGTCACAATTAGTAAACTGTCAATAAAATATGAAAGATATCCAACAAAGTATAATGTTCCATCAAATTATGAATCATTAATATTGTTGAACCTTTAATATCTGATTGACTCTGGAAATAGGTACTTTGGGTATTCCAGGGAACCAACAATTGTCAATAATTTGACACAGATGCACAAATAGATCCATCCATCCATTTTCATCCGCTTATCCGGAGTCGGGTCACAGGGGCAGTAGCCTAAGCAGAGGTGCCCAGACTTCCCTCTCCCCAGCCACTTGGGCCAGTTCCTCCGGGGGAATCCCAAGGCGTTCCCTGGCCAGGTGAGAGACATAGTCCCTCCACCGGGTCCTGGGTCTACCTTTAGGTCTCCTCCTGATTGGACGTGCCCGGACAACCTCACCAAGGAGGCGTCCAGGAGGCATCCTGACCAGATGCCTGAACCACCTCAACTGGCTCCTCTCGATGTGGAGGAGCAGCGGGTCTACTCCGAGCCCCTCCCGGATGATCGAGCTTCTCACCCTATCTCTAAGGCTGAGCCCAGCCACTCTTTGTAGAAAACTCATTTTGGCCGCTTGTATCCACACTCTCGTTCTTTCGGTCACTACCCAAAGCTCATGACCATAGGTGAGGGTAGGAACGTAGATCGACTGGTGAATCGAGAGCTTTGCCTTCTGACTCAGCTCTTTCTTCACCACGACAGACCGGTACAACGCCCGCATCACTGCAGATGCAGCACCAATCCGCCTATCGATCTCACGCTCCAGTTTTCCCTCACTCGTGAACAAGATACTTAAACTCCTCCACTTGGGGCAGGACCTCATCCCTGACCCGGAGAAGGCATTCTACCCTTTTCTGAATCAAGACCATGGTCTCAGATTTTGAGGAGCTGATTCTCATCCCAGCTGCTTCATACTCGGCTGCAAACTGCTCCAGCGAAAGCTGAAGATCACGTTCTTTTTTTATTCTTTTGTTTAGTTACTTTAAAGCAAGTAACAGGACAACACATTTGACTTTTCAAAAAACTTAAAAATGATGCTGTGATTAGAATTCAGCTTCCAGTCTTCTAAAATCCATGCTGACTGAACGCATTTCACACAGGAAAAAGAGGTTATTTATTTATTTATTTACTTATGCATGCTTTATTTATTCCTTGAAAATGTCATTTTTCTTTCAGGATATTTCACATTTACAATGTGAGCTTCCAGTTTGTGTTGCTTTTAGTAAACATGACAGGAACGCTTTTATCAGGTTCAGGGTGTGGTCATACTGAATCACTGTGAACGCTAAGGGTGCGTTTACGGCTCAAGACTGATCAGGAAAACACAGATATTCCCAGTTTTCAGGCAGCAACAAATGATTGCTGCGTAAATATTTTGTAATCCAATATTCTAACAAACATAACAAATTTAAAATAGACTTGATTATATTATGCGACTTGATTAACACAGAAGGAATTTCAAGGTCTAGAAAATTATTGCATTAGATTAATCCTTTTTTTTTCTGTTGCAGTGTTTTAATTAATGTTGTGCTTCCTTTTACTGCGCACTTCATTTGTTCTATTCTGTGGCTTGAAGCGCACATCTGAGGCGGTCTTCCGGGAGGGCAGCGCGTGCTGGAAACGAAATCGAAAGAGTTTTTTTTACTCCGACAGTCAGCCTTAAGTCTTTTGTCGATCAAGTCTGCAGTAAAATGAACTCTAAATTCCCAACTACGGTGACCAAACGTTACGACCCGGGTGACGTCACCATTCCATTTGTGAACGCGGATGATGAATTCGACTGTAAGTAAATTTATAATCATTTTGTAAACAAACCTTTTGAAACGAATGATTAAGCGGGTGGTGACGTGTTGCTTCCTTATTAAGGATTTATTTTTATTTATTTTATTTTTTACGCTGGTTTGTTTCATAGTCCAGTGTGAAGATTTTCCAAGTCCCACTGCTCGGATGTCCTGTGGTCACGTTGTAACCCCGATGTCTCTCACCAAATATTGCCTTCATCTGTTGGGAAAGGTAAGTTGTTTTTATTCAGTTGTTTCAAAAATGTTTCATAGAAAATAAGTTCGGAGTAAAAACGCTGAGTTCCGTTTATAAACCAGCACACTGTTGGAGTGTTGGACAATTGAACCCATCCCACCACCCCACACCACCCCACCCCACCCCACCACACACACACACACACACACACACACACACACACACACACACACACACACACACACACACACACACACACACACACACACACATTCATTCAATTCTGAGACTTTCCACAGACTACCAAAGGGTTGAGTAAGAAGAACCAGCTTAATATTAAACAAGCAAATGTATTTTGAGCTGATCAGAAGCCAGCTCTCTGAGCTGATATAAAATCTTTATGACTGATAGTATGGGGTGCCATTTGTAAAGTCAAACAGTCATAATCTAATAGCAATATTTTTGGTTATTTAGCATATCATAAGAGAAAAAATTGAGAGTTCACTTTTTCAAAGTCATATTTTCACCATGTTATTCATACATTTATAAATGTTAAAGTTTCCAAATATATATTTAGTTAGCAAGCTAAGTATTTAATTTATAGTTAAATATTTATGTTGCAAACTAAATATTTAGGTCTGATCTAAATACTTAGTTTGTAAAATAAATATTTAATTCACTAACTAAATATTTAATTTACTAATTAAATATTTATTTTGGAACTAAATATTTAAATTGTAAATTAAATATTTAATTTGTAAATTAAATAATTATTTTTCAAAAAAAAATATTTAGATCCCAGCTAAATATTTATTTTCCATGATGTTATTTAGCTCCACACTATATTTTATATTTTTGGGTCAGACTTAAATATTTATTTCCCAAATACTGATTTTGCAAACTAAATGTTTAGCTCCAAAATAAATATTTAGCTGGGATCTAAATATTTATTTCGGAAAATAAATATTTAATTTACAAATTAAATATTTAGTTCCAAAATAAATATTTAATTAGTAAATTAAATATTTAGTTAGTGAATTAAATATGTATTTTACAAACAAAATATTTAGATCAGACCTAAATATTTAGTTTGCAAAATAAATATTTAACTGCAAATTAAATATCTTGCTAACTAAATATTTATTTGGAAACTTTAACATTTATAAATGTATGAATAACATGATGAAAATATGACTTCGAAAAAGTGAACCACCAATTTTTTCTCTTATGATATGCTAAATAACCAAAAATATTGCTGTTAGATTATGACTGTTTGACTTTACAAATGGCACCCCATATGATAGATGATTACAGCAACCTGTCAGATTTGGGAAGGCCAGTGAGATTACAGGGATACCTCTAGCAGCCCCTCAGAATTGCCTCTTTCAGTTATGACTCTGTTCAAGGCTACTTGGACTGTCTAAAGATACCTCGAGAAAATATTCAGATTTTCTTCCCTCAGAAAGACCTAAGATCTCCTGAGATTTCCAGTTAGTAAAATAAGAAATTAGTTGTATATTTTGACTCAGTGCAAGGCGATGTATTTGGTACCTAGTGTTACAACCTGTCTAGGAGGGGCCAGGCCACAACATGAAGGTGGATCCCCATTTTCCACAGATCCCAAGTACCACACCACAGTTTGACTTGTATACATGGATTTTTATTAACAAGTTTTATTTTAACTGACAGCGAGGGAGGATAAATATAACTCAGGGTGAACCAAAAGGCCAAAACAACAAACAAAACACCCCTAACTTAAATAATCACCTTACCTACAAAATAAAATTGAAAAAGAAATACAACCAAACTTACCTCCCTGATTACAAAAGCAGGAGAAAACTGAAAGGACAAATAAGATGGCAGGTTCACCCCTACTTTCCACAAGTTTAACAACAGGACATTAACTGGATTGTGGCAGGTTCGGATGAGCAGAGAATGAGGAGCAGCTGCAGGTGGTGTTGACGTCCCTCTTAAAGGTCTGCTCCCATCAATTATCCAATCAGGGCTCTTCCCAGGCCACTGGTTCACCAATCAGATGTGGGCACCTGCACTAAGAAACATTATGAAGACAAAAACAACTTACAACCTTTGGTTGTAACACCCCCACACCCAAGAATTAAACACACCCCCTAAATATGTTTAATTCATGGAAAAACACAAATACAAATCTCTAATATCTCCAAATCTCTGAAACGCCCGAGACAGGGCATCAGCTAAAACGTTGTCCTTACCCCATTTGTACGTGCTCCGTGGCGCAGAGCCACTTATCTCCACCAATCCATCATCTACAAGAGAATAGGGCGGTGGTGAACACACAGAAACAGAGGCAGCAGGAAGGCTTTGACCATTTACAACACTTTCTCGGGAGAAATACCTCTTTTATTAAATTTCCTGAAGATATTGCCAAGTGGGAGTAAGTAGATTATGAAAAGAAGGGGACCTAAGACTGAGCCCTGAGGAACTCCAGAGGTAACTGGCTTGGGGTTAGAGTGGAAGGTGCGCAGTTGGACAAATTGACCAGTATACGGTCATATGTGTTTTTCACTCCAAGTTGTCCAGCTAAACTGGCATCATGTGCTATGCTCAAAATCTGTGTTCTAAGGTCTGCCGGAACAACCACTTGTTCTACCTTTTTCAACTCACTCGAGTCTGGAGACCAAGACCTCAGCAAAACCCCATTCCTAATGTAATATGTTACATTACTGCTAGGTCCTTTATCTGCTACAGATAAAACATGATCCTAAGGACTGATCATTCTGTTCTGATCAGCATGTCTCTATTTACGTCCGAGCTCAGTTTCATTCCAACGGGAATCGCATTCGCAGTTTCACATTCTCTCATGGTTTCTTCTCTATTTACATCACTCATAACAGGTTCATCAGAAGTCATAAAAGAATCAGAGAGATCAACCATAGTACCCAGTTTACGAGCCTGTGGGCACTCCGAGCCCCTCTCAGATGACTGGACTTCTAACCCTATCTTCAAGGGAGAGCCCAGCCTCCCTGCAAAGAAAACTCATTTCAGCCGCTTGTACCTGCAATCTTGTTTTTTCGATCACTACCGAAAGCTCGTGACCGTAGGGGTAGGAATGTAGATCGACAGGTAAATCAAGAGCTTCGCATACCAGCTCATCTCTGTCATCATCATAACCGACCGGAACAACTCTCGCATCACTGCAGATGCAGCACCAATCTGCCTGTTGATGTCCCGTTTCATCTTTTGTTCACTCGTGAACAAGACCCCGAGATACTTAAACTCCTCCACTTGAGGCAGGACCTCATCCCTGACCTGAAGAAGGCATTCTACCCTTTTCCAATTCAAGACCATGGTCTCGGATTTAGAGGAGCTGCTTCGCACTAGGCTGTGAACTGCTCTAATGAGAGCTAAAGATCACGTTCTCAGAGGTGTGGACTTGAGTCATTATTTTAATGACTTCTGACTTGATAACATTTATAAAGACTTACGACTTGACTTGGACTTGAACGCCAATGACTTGCGACTTGAATCGACTTGGATCTGTTGACTTGATGATGACTTGAGCATATTTGACATTTTAGCACAAAAGTGGCACGACATGGACATGGACATGAATCATTCTTGGTTCTGGGTGTGATCTTGTATGGCTAAATGCAGCAGCACTTTGTTTATAATCAGTTTTGGCTGCACTTCCTGCTTGTTTGAGCAAATAAATGAAGCTTTAAGAAGCTTTAATTCTGGAATTTATTTATTATCATTGTCATTAAATTAAAGTTGGTCAGTGTCATGGTTTTTTCTCTATTAAGATATTTGACCCACATACAATATTACTCTCAGGAAACCAGGAGATGTAGTAAAAAATAGTTGATTAGAGAGGTGAGCGGAAGCTGGCAGGGATGGGCTGGTTCCGGAGCTAGAGGTTGGATCACTGGAAGAAATGACACATGAAATGATGATCGGGACGGGGAGATACTTATATATACAGTGGGGAGAGTTCTTACTGAGATTTGGTTGTAGCAGAGCGTGGGAGAGGTGAGCCGGCACCGGGGCTGTGGGTCAATGTGGAGGTTCCAAAGCAGTGAGGCGCGTTGTTGGAGGGTGGACAGGAGACGCACGGGAGGAGAACAGGGCCAGGAAGGATTCAGCCGTGGTTCCGGAGATCTAAAGGGAGCTGCAGAGGCTGGTATGAGAGACTGAGATCTTCCACACAAAGGCGTAATCCAGAGCGGGTTCTTAGGAATCCTGTGATGACAAACAGAGAGGTTTCAGGGAACAAACTAAATTAGGTTTCAATAAACTGGAACGGATTCAGGTGGCTGGACGTTACCACTAAGGCAAACAATCTGGCGCTGAGTGGCATCTAATTACATGATGGGCTGCAGGTGAGCAGGGTGACTCTGCAGCCGAGGTAATTAGCTGGATGGAGTCTCCTTAAGTCTCTCCCTAGCCCTCCAACAACCTGTGAAGAAGAAATGTGAACCCACAACCCCAGTACCTGACAGACAGATGACTTGATTATGACTTGAAAATTCAAAGTTAAGGACTTGGACTTGACTTGGACTTCCACATCATTGACTTTGGACTCGACTTGGGCTTGGTTGTCTTTGACTTGGACTTGACTCGAGACTTGACTGAAAAGACTTGTGACTTACATGTGACTTGCAAAGCAGTGAATTGGTCACACCTCTGCACATTCTGATGAAGCCAACAGGACCACATCATCTGCAAACAGCAGTAGCTCGATCCTTAGGCCACAAAAACAGATCACCTCACCATCTTGTTTAGTTTAGAGTGTAGTTTGGTGCATTAAGCACAAATCAGTCAGGACCCGTTCCCCCAAACAGGTGAGAGGCTGTCCTCTCATTCCCCGGGGTAACCCCCAACGTACAGGCACCAAGTTACTAAGTGTGAGGAAACCTAAAGGAAGACACAGGACACTCCAGAGCGACTGTGTCTCACAGGTGGCCAGGGAACGCCTTGGTATTCCCCCAGAGGAGCTGGCCCAAGTATCTGGGGAGAGGGAGGTCTGGACCTCTCTGCTTAGGCTGCTACCCCTCGACCTGACTCTGGATAAGTGGCTGAAAATGGATGGATGGTTTCTAATTTTATAACGGCATTAAATTAGTAAATAGAAATTCAATACTTTGAGAAGTAGGAAGGCTAACCAGGAGTTACCAAGTGTGAGGTGACTAAAACTATAGCAGAGAACTAACAGAATATCACTGAGGCATTGAGTAGTAGGCATTCATAGTAGAGCAAAAAGTAGTCAGCCAGGAATTACTAAGCAAGTGAGAACAGCGATTACCGTAATTTCCGGACTATAGAGAGCACCTCAATATAAGCCACACAAACAAAAAAAAGGTTTTCCACACACACACACACACACACACCGCACTCGAATACAAGCCGCGGCGCAGCAGCCACATGCAGGTCGCCGGCGCACAGCGCATGTACGGCCATAACATAAGATAATTAGACAGAAAGACGCTACCCGGAGGTTTTTCATTGTTTTAATTCAACAAAACAAATTTTAAAAACAGGTGAACATGCCTGCATGTTTAGAAAAGAAAACAGCACTGATAGCATTCATTTTTCTGGATGGTTGTAAAATAAAAACAGAACTGACACGTTATTACCGGTAATTTGCATGTTTAGAAGAAAAGAACAGTGCTGACACAGCATTAATAAGCCCTGGATGATTAGAAAATAAAAACTGCACACAATACATGCCTGGTTAGTAAATAAAACACTTGCCTACCAGAAAAAGTTATTCACTCTCATCTTCCTCCTGCGCACTAAAGCCATTAAAGTCCTCTTCTTCAGCGTCTGAGTTGAACAGCCTCAGAAGATCTTCGTCACATACCTTTTCTGTGGCGATGTCAGTGTCGCTGTCCGTGTTGCTGTCATCATCCCCGGGTGAAGCTGGCTTGAATGAGTTCTTCCCGTTGCCGTCTCCAGCGCCGAACCATGGATTCATTCATGCCAAGCTTACGTGCGGCAGCACTGTTTCCCTCCTTTACTGCCAGATCGATGGCCTTCAACTTAAATGCGGCATCATATGAACTCATACGTGTAGAGGGGGTATGGACTTGAAAAAAATTCTTCGTCGTGCTGCTTGCATGTGCTAAATTAAAATGAGCACTTTCGATTTCCACTTTTGACTTCCACCTGTTTCACTTTCTGCTAAAGTGCCCCCTGCAGGTGAAGGAAAATCTTCAGTATAGCCGCACCTCATTACAAGCCGCATGGTTCAAAGCGTGGGGAAAAAGTAGCGGCTTATAGTCTGGAAAATACGGTATGCTACAGGTAGAAGGTGACTAAAACGAATGCAGTAAAAGCTGGTACAAATGTACAACAACGAACATTGATGGCTGACATTAGTAAACTAACAGAAGTCCAAGTACTTCTAGCATTTAGTTTTACAAAATGGTTATCATTGCTTGCAGAGTTGAATTATCTTTTATCTAAACATTCATTTTCTTTCTCTTTTTTGTGTTGTTTCTCTAAAGGGGGAATGCAAACTTGTCTGTGGCCAGTTTAACTGTAATGTAGAGTGGCCATATGAGGAGGTTCGTAAAATGGCTCTCCTGACCCCTGAAGAAAAGGAGTACTTTGAAAAGATCATGGCCCACAATGCTGTCAAGAATTACTTTGACTCCAAATTTGTAAGTATCTCATCAGAAACAGAATATTCACAAAGCATATTTGACTATTTTGGTTTCAATCACCCATTGTACAAGAAATAGACATGATAAAAACGATTGCTTTACTGTTTCTGTTTTCTTTTCTCTTCCATCCTCTAAATCTCAGTGCCCTGGATGCAAATTCTCAGTGACAAGAAAAGATGAGTCTAATCTGAGCGTTCGCTGCCAAGTCTGCACAACAAACAAAGGACGCATCTATGAATTCTGCTGGCAGTGTTTGAGGCAGTGGAAAGGTCCACAACCACGTTTGGACCGCTGTGATAATGACGGCTGCACCAACGATTCACTAAAAACACTCACAGCCTGCCCAGCTTTGATCTTTGAGAGTGTGAAAGGGGTCACTGGATGTCCTTCCATCCGGGCTTGTCCTACCTGTGGTACTCTGCTGGAGCACAATGGAAAACAATGTAAAAATATTATGTGTCGCCAATGTAAGGTGGAGTTCTGTTTTGTGTGCTTAAAGGTCACTACCAAATGTAAGTCAGATCCTAACTATAACTATTTTGGTCCATGCTTCAGTGGCCTTGCTCCCCGACAGACTGTTATCCCTGTGTGGAACAGGAAAAAGTGAATCACTGTGTATTTTTTAATAACTCAGCATACTGATTTTTCTAATTATCGTCCGATTTCCAAACTCTCGTTTTTATCCAAGATTATTGAGAAAGTAGTTCACACTCAACTTTCCAGTTACTTAGATCATAGCCTCCTCATCACTTTCAGTCTGGCTTTAGACCTCACCACAGCACAGAAACTGCACATCTTCATGTATGAAATGATATCCTGGTGGCAACTGATTCTGGTTCCCATGTCCTTCTGTTACTCCTGGACCTCTCTGCTGCCTTCGACACAGTGGACCATGACATCCTACTTAGGAGGTTGGGGGTAACAGGGATCCCACTTCATTGGTTCAGATCATATTTGTCAGATAGACAATTTAGTGTTCACATTGACAGCTTTTCCTCTCCATCTACTCCACTTCACTGGGGTGTGCCTCAGGGTTCGATTCTAGGGCCACTCCTATTCTCGATTTACTTATTGCCACTGGGGATGGTTCTGACAAACCTTGGAATAAGTTATCACCTTTACGCGGACGATTGCCAGATTTATCTGGCTTTAAGTAAACCTGACTCAACACGCCTCCTTGTCGACTGTATTACTGCAGTTAAAGGCTGGCTGTCGGAGAACTTCCTTTGCCTTAACGAAAACAAGACCGACGTCATTCTTTTTAATCCAATAAATCCAAAGCATGCACCTGGTGACTACCCTCTACCGTTTTTAAATCTTAAATCCTGTGTATCCAGTCTGGGAGTGAAACTTGACTTTGATCTGTAAATGAGTTCACAAATTAACTCCACAGTCCGGTCCTGCTTTTTTCAACTACGTCATATCTCGCGCTTAAAGTCAATAGTCAAACGACCTCAGCTGGAGTTGAGACTATGCCAACTCACTACTTGTTGGTGACAGCGCCTCAGCAATCGAGCATCTACAGAGTGCAAAATGCGGCGGCTAGGTTCCTGACAAACACCTCGAGACGCTGTCACATTTCACCCGTCCTTGCACGCTTGTACTGGTTACCTGTTAAATACAGCATCCAATTTAAGGTTTTGACCTTTGTCTACAACATTCTGAATGGTCAAGCCCCGGATTATCTTTCAGAACTGATAAAGCCTTATGCTCCAACCAGAAACCTGAGATCTGCAGATCATTTGCTTTTGTGCGTCCCGAAAATGAGGTATAAATCTCGTGGAGCGGGCCTTTGTGTTCACTGCTCCTAAACTCTGGAATGCTCTCCCCCTTAGTGTTCGACAGGCCCCAGAACTGGGTCGATTTAAGTTGGTACTGAAGGCCTTCTTCTATCATTTAGCTTTTATTCAATTATCTAGTTTTTAGTGTTTTTACGTTTTATTGTGACTGTATTTTATTGTTGTATGTTTCTTTTACAATTTTTTGGATTTTACCTCTTACCTCCTATATGACTTTTATCTGTTTTTATCTTGGGGTTTATCCTTTTTACTGTACAGCACTTTGGTCAGCTGTCATGTTTTTAAATTTGCTATATAAATAAACATGGTATGGTATGGTATGGTATGGTTTGTACAGTACTTAAGTCAAGTTATACCTGCTTCCTTAGCCTCAGTTTTTCTGATTTTCAGAATCTGGCATAAACTTTCTTACCAAAAAGACCTTTATCATGGTAATCTCTGTGCTTTGCTTTCATATGGGTTTATCCCAATTAATGGCAAACTGGCCACCAAGAGCACAGCGATATTTCCTGGTGATCTGGCTGCCGAATGGTCTTTTTGGCTATATAGTAACACATGTACCACAATTGCCACCAACACATTTGTTCAAGTCCAATTCAGCATTTTTCGTAGGCTGGTACAGGTACAAGAAACTGGGTCTTACGTCGGTGTCTGTCTTATTTCCTAGCAACAGTGACAGCGTAAAAAGGAAGTTTAAAACTCAACTTAGCAGCAATACGGGACCCACCATACAAGATCTGACCTAGAGCAGGGGTGCCCAGTCCTGGTCCTGAAGGGTCGGTACCACCACATTTTGGTTTAAACCCTGCATCAACATACCTGATTTCAATTAGTAGGTGATTAACAGGCTTCTGCTGAGCCTGAAGAGCTGCTGCACAGGTGACTCAACCACTTACATCATGTGTTGGAGCAGAGAAACCACTAAAACGTGCTGGATACCGGCCCTCAAGGCCCAGATTTGAATAGCCCTGGATAAAGGTGTTAAAAAGACGAACTCATATATACTGAAAGTTTCATTTTCAGTATAACCACAGTGAATTAATAGCAGCGACTAGGGGGTGCTACGATCAAGCACAACTTCCTAGTAACCCTTCAGTGGTTCATTTTTATGTTATGTTTCAAGTGACTGCAAGTAAAATCATAGTTTTTATGTAATTGAAGCTGTACCCGTTTACATGAAAAAAAATTTGATCTACTTTGTGGTAAAACCAATGTAGGTACAGAACGGGAATTTTAGTCATACCATTACATTCATAATATTTCCCTAATGTTTGCTGGTTCTTTAAAGATATTTAGCACATGCCTTTATTACCATATGCATTTTTGTTCCTCATAATGTAAACTTGCAGTTATTTTATTCATAATGTCTTTGTGAGGTAACAACATTTTGACCAAATATTTATTTTTCTGTTCTGGATTAATAAATGTTAACCGACAAAATCTGAAATTTGTTTTGTGTTGATAAGTGTTATTTTCACAGAAAAATATGTGAAATTGCAATGTTTTTCAGAAAGTAACCTAAACGTAAACCTTGTCATGGTCTGGGGAATACGTCTAACCCAAGACATGCAGAATCACAACACTGGTAATTGATTGATGGTAAAAAAAAAAATAAAAATTATAAACGGGAACTGAAGGTGCACTGGTATGTCCAGTGGGGATCGAGAAATGGGACCGCAGCGTTGGGAGATGGGGAAGCATCGGAATGAGGGAGGGCAGGTTTAGAGCCGGGGTGTATCCAAGTGAGGGGTCCAGGAGAGGGAGCGGGAGGAGGGAAGGAGAGCGGGTCGGTTAGGAGGAATGGAGAATGGTTGAGAGCTGCGTCCAGAAGTCCTATGAAGCATGGGTGAGTAATCCTGAGAAGTCGCTGAACCAGAGACGTTCCAAAAACCTGGAGACGGGCAATCACAAAATCCAAAGTTCTCAATAGTCCAAGAAATGTGAGAGCACAAAAACCAAGTAACACTAGGAGGCTAGAAACTACCAAGCTCTAGTAATCATCCGGCGTCGAGGTCTGTTCTCCATCCTCCTTAAGTAGCCGGGCCCGCTGATTGCCAACGAGGTGCAGCTGGGAACCTCCCTCTCCTGCAAGACACAGCTCAGAGGTGGAATATTGAGAGGAGTACTCACCCCGGCTCATGACAAAGCTAAGGTATTATTGTCCCTGTTATCAGTTATCGCATACATAACATTCAGTTTTGTGGACTTTGAGACACCTTAACCCTTTGGTGCATAATGGTCACTACAGTGGACAGGTACTCAAAATTGTTATTTCTTTATTTTTGCTATTAAGCACAGCTGTTGAAGACTTTATTGCATTTGAGCCCTCCATTTGAACTTCAGTAAGTCAAGCCAACATTTCATGTTCAGAATGCACGCTGTCCACTGAGATGGACATGTAATAATTTATTTGTAAATTAACAAAATGTTACAAAAAATATTTGTGGAAATTTGTTTCATTCACACCTAAAGATGAATGAAAAAAATTGTTTAAAAACTCTTGGTTGAAGATTTCATAATTCATGCATCAGAGGGTTAAAGAGCAAGTCACCCCCAAATCAACTTTTTTTCTGATAAACTATATAAATGTGTGTCTAATCGTGCTGCAGACACGTGTAGTTAATAGTTTTGCACTTTAGTGCATTTTAGTTAAAATTAAAATTTTCTGCCTAAAACTGTCAGTGTTGTGTCGTTGTCAGGTAAAAACTCTGCACAGCATTTGAATTTAAACCTGCCATCGCTATTGGCCAAGAGGTGCCCTAGAACATTAGCTGGTACCATATGATGTCACAATGTCGTTGTGAGCCTGAGTGTGTGTGTATTTGTTAGCGGCTCCGCCCTCTCGGTCTGCTAGGCGACACCATTTGTTGCATTTTTCAAACAGGAAGTGGGAGTTGAGTAAGAATCTGGTAGGGGGTGACTTGCTCTTTAAGTTATCAGCGCTGGGTGGTTAAAGTAACAAAGTAAAGTTTTATCTCTGCCTTCGTATTTGTTTCTCAGGTTTATTTTTTACCTTTCAACTGTTGTGAAGACTTTTTTAAAACGTTTGACCTTTGTCATTGCCAACCAAGGGCGGATAACTGGTCTCTAAGACACCATAGCAACTGCTACTGTCTATGGTGGCCGTGTTTGTGGGTTATACTTTTTATAAACTACAGTTAACAGGATGTTTCATCTATGTTTTAACTCCATGAGGATCTGAAGCTCGCACTTTGAAAGAACGCATTAATACACCTGTTCACGCACGCAGAAACTATCTCACTCCCCTTAATGTTCATCGGGCAAAATACGAGCAAGTTTACAAAAACAAGTTTACAAACAACGCGTTCAGGCACAACACTGGTTACAACATCATGATCACATAATTTAATTTCTTTATGAAAACATTAGTTTCATTAACTTCATGATGACCATGTTAGACCACGTAATAATATAACTTGTTTAAACAGCTATAATATATCCCCTTTAATCTAATTTTCTCAGCAAATATGCAGCAACTTTGGATTTTTAAAGATTGTTTCACATTTAAGTACACTTTCTAGTCGATCTAATAATGTCCTTTTTTTCAAAGTGAGCAAACATGGTGGTAAATAAAATTGATGGTGCCAAACATAAAGTTTACAAACCCATTCAAGTGTTAAGACTGAAAGGCCATGCAAGTAGTCAGGCAAACTATACTTCCACCAGACACCATTGTTACAAGTAAATAAATATTGGTTTACTTGATAAAATGTGTTTAAAATGCCAGTTGGTTACAAAAGAGAAAATAATGTACTTATTATTATACTTATTATGAAGTTGCCTTATTATAGTCTTGCTACATATTTTTCATGTGATCTTAAATTGATTTCAAGATGTTAAGCACTTTAGTCTCCATCCAGGGTTGTGGGAAGTGCTTTATAGATAAACTTGTTTGATTGATTGATTGATTGATTGATTGATTATTGAAATAAATTAATTAATCTTGTGAAGGAGACTAAAACCAATTTTTAAAATTCAGCAAGTAAACATGAAAGTAACTTCAAATTGGTTTGAACACATTTGTGACAGATGTTTTTAAAAGCACACCAAGGAAAAATGAAAGCTTTCAAAAACTAAGATGTTTCAGTAATAGTTAAGCAATAAAATACCAAGTATCAGATGTATTGGTAATTAAATAACTTTTACATATTCCATCATTGTTGATAAAAAATGGCACCTTGTTTAGTTTTGTAAGTAATCTGAAAATTAGACTTTTTATTAAATGTTTTTGCAGCATGATAAAGGAATGTGTATCTTTGTGATTTTTCTAGGGGCTTGAGTAGAAACAAGGAAGTTCAGTTAAATTCATCTTAGACAGCTTCAGTCGTCAATGAGAATCTAAATCAACATATGTGAAGACGTAAAGAGTTGTAATTAAGTTATATATATATATATATATATATATATATATATATATATATATATATATATACACACCGTAAATCCTCTAATACAGGCCCAGGCCGGGTCTCCAATTCTGGCCGGTGTCGGAGTTAGCGGAGGTAAATAATGGCCGGTCTCTTATTGTGGCCGGATGGAATGTGGTAACAAGTAAGTACGAGCGTCCCAGCATCAGGGTTATAGTCCCCAAATCAATCAGCAGGAGGCAGTAGAAGTTCACGCAGACCTTTATTAGGCTTTTTCTGCAACGCTTTGTTACGCTACAGACACGATCCTCTATCACGCTCCTACCACACAGAGTCACGGTGTCAGTTAACCATGCTAATTCAACCCGCTCCACAGAACACACATCACCTTCCCTGTGGCTTACATAACACTCACACAACACGCAAATCAGCACATAGGAACCAGCAGAACGATAGGAAACACATATAACACAATACCCAGAATGCACCTGGCTTACAACCCCAGCCAGGTCATTACACTATCAAGTTCAAAGAGAACGTGCTGATTATGCTGCAGAACACTCTGGAGAGCAGCAGTAGGGGGTGTATGAACTACAGTAATCCCTCGTTTATCGCGGTAGATGCGTTCCAGACCTGGCCGCGATAGGTGAAAATCCGCGAAGTAGGGACTCCCAGCATGCCCCTCGCGGGGATTCCCTTCACGTCGCACCTACGTCACAAACCGCGGCTATAAACGGAAGTCGCCTTTCCAGCTCACCACTCAGTCATCGTTTCTTCAGATTCACGATCAGAGTTTCCAACCTACCGATCAATCCAACGAATTATCAGCTCATAGTAAGTTATCTTACTCACTTCTGGAAAGCCCGGCATTTCCGTGTCACTTCGTTGACGCTCGAACGCTCGGGGGTTTCTTAGAGCACCGACGCTATC